GGCGCTCAGAAAAGGAGACGTTCCGTGTATTGGAATGGGAGCGGGGAGGCAGCTGGCGGGCTTTCGGACAAGAGACAGGCAGACACACTCCGTCAGCTCGGCTCTCTCTCTCTCTCGCCAGGCAGCGCGCCGCTGGCCTCCCGGGCTCGGCGAGCCATGCACAACTTGAGCCCCGTTTTTCCTGGCCCCCGTGAAACCAGCTGACTCTGGTATGGAGGCGCTTCAAGTCCGAGGGGGACCCCCCACGAGCGGGCGGGCGGGCGCAGGCTCGCTGTCATGCCTCGTCCGTGGACCGCCAAGTTGCTCTCGCTCAAGGAAAAGAAACCCGACTTCCTCCGTTGTTTCGCTCCTTCTCTTTCTGCCCCCTCCTTCTTCCCCACCAGCCCCTTGCTTGTTGGGCCACAACTGACAGCACCCGGCAGGGAAAGGGGGGAGGACTAATTACACACACACACACGCACGCACGCTGCCTTTTTCTTGAGGTTTCCATTCTGCCCGCGCTGCATTCTGCCCGGATCCTGCAGCCATGGCCTCCGCCGCTTCTCGCTCCCCCCTCCTCCTCCTCCTCCTCCGCTCGCCCCCACCCTCCATGTAGGACGGAAGCGCGGCCCGAGTGCGTACCCACACCGTCTGGAAGGGATGGCGGCAAAGGGGCGGCGCGGGGGGGGCGCCGCGGAGAGACGGGGCCAAGCGGAGTAAATGAAGACGCCGGAGAACCCAATTAATTTTTTTTCTGTTTCCTGTTTTATTATTATTATTATTATTTAAAAAAAGACCAGAGATGTGGAAAGAAAGGAGAAGGATTGTGCAACACCAAGAACCTCATGACCACGCGCCTGTGCAATCAGAGAAGAGTAATAAAAGCGGGCGAGTTTCACGCCGCTTTAAGGCGACAGGAGGCGAAAGAGGGACGCCGGTTTAGCCGGGAGCCAACTGGATCCTCGCAAGAACCTCGATCGGGAGTAAAGGGGGTGGAGAAATAGGTCTTGGTCGCAGGATCGATCCTCCCTCCTTTCCCTCGCGGCTCGTTCGCTCCTTCTCGCCATCCGAGGCTCTGGATTACATTGCTGGCGTGCGTATTTATTTGCCGCACGTTCGCTCGCTCTTTTTAACCCCATTCTAGCCACCCAAACGTTTCCGCTGGGAGTGCTGTGGGTTTCCACGGCTGTGCTAACGCTGGAGGGCTACGCTGACCGCTCCGCGCGCAGCAGACACTAGTTGATAGCATACGTGAGGAGCCGGTCAGCGACGGGGACTCGGTCTCCCCATCAGCCTCGGTCTGGGATGGAAACAAAAGGATGCGCCCTGGAGAGATAACAGACCAAAATGCGAAGAAGTCTCCAGACAGAAAGTGCGTCGACAACGAGGGAGGATTAGAAACCCATTCCAGGGGCAGCGTTGCCATGCGATTCTGGATTCACCGGCGGCGTTTCGAGACCGGCGGGGATCCTCAGGTCGGAGCGACAGACCGCCCTTGTGCAACGTGCTGGATGTAAACGGATGCCAACAACTGAAAAGAAACCTCATGGCGTCTACCTGGTAGTGAATGTGTACCCTTGTGCTATTGGAAAGGGCGCTCTCAGGATTGCATCACTACTCTTAATTGGTGCTGTCTCGCTCTGTTTGGGATTTTTTAAAAAAATTAATTGTACAGTACTTAAAATGATGGTGCTTCTGCTTCGGGCGTCTGTTCTTGCATGTGGACGTCACCTAAGAGGAATTCCCGACCGAAGAACGAAGAAGCTGCTCCTGGCCGGAAATGGACTGAGGAATTCTCACCTTCCCCGTCTGTTAGCCCCCCCCCCTCACAAAGAAACCCAGAGTGAACTGCAGCCCGAATACAATTAAGTTTTCTGGTGAAAGGGGGGGGAAGGGGGAGGGAGGAGAGCAGCTTTACTCCAAGAGTAAAATACCTGGTTAGACCACTAGAGGGTGGTCCCTCCCTGTGCTTTGTAGGGAGAACTAAGAAACGAAGCATCCTGGAATGTTGTATTTTAAGGCTGAAGAACTGTGTTTGGCTGGCTGCTGAGGAATACGCCCACCCTTGAACTTGGGGGGGGGGGACGACTGCCAGATAGACAAATGTAGGCTTAGACTGCTATGTGCACATAATTCTTCAATCTCTGCTTAAAAAAACAACAACACAGTGCTAAACGACAAAGCCACACACATGGAATCATTCCCAACTGTTAAAAAAAGTGAAATCTTGTAGAATTTTATGTTCATTTCCTTGGTTTTCCCAGCTGGGGTGGGCAGGAAATCAATACAACTGTGTAAATAGGTGGTAGACAACTTAGGTTCACTATTTCAAAGTCATTTGTTTGTCATCCTTACTCTTTCATTATGTCATTTCCGCCAAGTTAATTTAAAGTGAATTTTTTCCCATTAAATTGGTAGTTGTGTGCGCACTTACTGGGGGTGGGGGGAAGACTACAGCCCTATACCTAGGATTAGGATTATATCCCATTTAATGAAGTGGGACTTATTTCTGAATAAACATGGATAGAACTGGGCTGTTATTTCAACAAAAAGATAATTGATTTCTAATATAGTATGGTTAAGCCTAGGCTGTTTAAGGAACAAAGAAACATATTGAAAGACAAAAAATATATGCATTAGAAAAGAACTTCATTTTGACATCTCCCTCCAGGCAAACTTTCCACCTATTTTTATATTTCAGATACTCACTTGGCATTTCTATTCCCTTTTCGCTTCATTAGTGATAACAAGTTGCAATCTCTCCAATAAAATTGAACACACAGCCTCCTCTAAAAATGCACCAATGTTCGTTTCCAGGGTTGTGAAGAACAAATTTAGCAGAAGCTGATTAGCTGAGCTAATTATTTTAAGTGACTAGAAAGTGTCTCATTTCTCTTAACTCTGCAGGCCTTAAGTATGTTAGATAACAACATCCACAGACGCTTTGGTCTTTCGCTTGTATTAATGAAGCCTTTCCTGAGTAAGATAACATTTCCCCACATTATTTTTCTGAGTTGTACAGCTCCACGAAGTCTTCAGCATTCTTCAGCCAATTTCTTACAGAACTGACTTCGAAATAGGCCTTATGGTAAAAATGTTTGTTAAAGTCAACCCTGGCAGTAAGAAAGTTGATCGCTGTCAAAGGCTTAGTGCTCACGTTACCCTGGTGGCATGAGAGCCCAGACTAGATGGAAGAGACTCTCAACACTTTAACTCCTTCCTGTATCACTGTCAGCCCTTGAGAAACTGGATCAGTGCTGCCATGGAGCACAGTAGTAGCATGAGATTGTCCTCTATGACATTGTGCTTCTCAAGTTCTCAGACAAGAAAAGAGAGGGCTGTAAGTGTAAGTATTAGGCCAAAATCTGCCGCAAGAAAAGAGAGGGCACTGTTGCTGTAGTTCCTATGCAGCGGTAAGTGTAAGTATTAGGCCAAAATCTGCCATCTCATACTCTGCTTAAATGCTGCAATCTGTTGTAAGAGAAGCTCCTAAACAGTTCACCTTCTCCAAGCCATCCTGCCACCATGCAGCATGGTGTGTGCAACAGAAGCACAGTGAGCAGGGAGTCACCATGGTGAGGGACATGGAAATGCACTGGCTTCTGAATGCTGACACAGACCTCAGTGGGACTGAGATCTAAGAAAGATATGCTTCACCTCAAGGGTATAACCAATAGAGTTCCAGCAGCAAAAGTAAGCCCGTACTGCAGTGTGAAGTCACATAACAGATTGCCACAACTAACATCTGAATCAGTGAGTAGTGGAAATTTTGAAATGTGGGTGCTCATCTAAACAATCCTCACATTCATGCTCCCTGGGACAGACTAAAACTACAGGCAGCTGTCTGGATCCATAGCTGTATGTAATAAATCTGTGTACACAGCCATATCTCACAACAATGTACTGTTGCTTTGATAACCCGTTTTGCCCCAGCTGTCATGAAGACTGGGGCGATGGTGAAGATTAGCTGGCTAGATAGCTAAGTGAGTTGGAGTATCTGGTCAGGAGTTTGATTCTCCATTGTACCTCCTGGGAGAAGAGCCCAGCCTATGTAGTCTTGGGCAAGCTGCTCAGTTCCAGAGCATCACCAGAAGAAGGAACTGGTAAATCACTTCTGACAATTTGCTACCCTGGCAAAGTTGGAAAAGACTTGATGGCACATTACTACTACTACTACTACCATGAAGTTTTACAGTGCAGTTCCTCTGGAAGTGAAGGATTAGCTGGCTGCACGCAATGGCCCAGGGGATGCCCAAGTGTACTCACAGTGGCTCAGGTGATGACAGTATTCTTGCTAATTAAAAACTCGTTTGGACCACAATCCTGATCTTAGAGACTGCACCCAATCCAAGGCTGCCTGGTGATGATTCCACAAACGTAGTATTTAATGTGCCTCAAGTTCTGGAATGAATGCAGAATTAAAACACATCAGCATGCATGTGGGGTCCAAGATGACTTTCTTGGGTGGAACTGCTGCAGTTGAATGATGCTATGAACTAAATTAACCTGGTACCTTGGTTTTTCTACCAGTCATGGTACTGAAATGGGAAGTTTTACTTGAGCAGACTCATCGGCTGCCCCATGCTTGCTAGGGCTCCACAGGCTGCTTTAAAGCTTATGCCAACACAGGTACGACTTACAAACTAGAATTGGATACTTGAAGCCAATAGGATTTCAGCATATGTCAGTGCTTTGAGGACAAGGCTGTGCCTTCTAGTTGTCAGAAAGCTTGTGCAGATGATGTCCACCTCTCATAGAATCCATCTGTAATACCATAGGTATTCTTCAAATGGATCAATCAAGAAATAGAAATTCCCTGTTTTATTAAAGTTAGGTTGTATAAACGAGTATAACGGTAACCATGCACATAGTATTGCATAGAATATATCACAACCTTTTGTTCAGTATGTTACTATGAAAAGTCTAATGCATCATTTAAATGTATTTATTCAATGCAGTCTGTCTGAAAACCTCTTGCTAAGGATTTTAAATATGCAGTTTCTCTCTGTCAGATCACAGCATTTGATTGAAAATCTAGATTGCTCTTCATTTCATGAAGAACTATTGTTAGCCATTGGTTAAATCATTAGCTTATTTGATGTTAGCTGATAAGTATGTCTTGCCAACTAATTTTAACTCTAAACACACAAGAAATGTTCAAAGTTGTTAAGAGACTTTTCCATCCATTTCTTGTTCCTTACATCTTTAAGAATTCCCTCCTTTTTCAAGCTACTTGCTATAAAATTCTATGAAATTAAATGACTAAATGGAGGGTATTGCGTTTTCAGCATAGCATGAGAAGTCTCACTGGAGTGAGCAGTAAAGCTAGGAAAAATAGCAAGTAGTAGGAAAAGAGGATGAACATGAGATGAATCTGTTCAGTAAAGGAAGCAATGGCTTGGAGTTGGTAAGACATGGACAGGCCTACGAATGACAGGATTTTTGGATATCAATATTCATTATTTATTTATTTGATTTATATACCGCCCGTCTGGCAGCCAAGGCCACTCGGGGGGTGGGGGGTTACAACAACTAGACAGAAACAATAAGATAAAAATAAAATAACAAAATAAGACGATATTGATAAATTAAATGTGCAAACCAAAATACCATGCAATACAGTGGAAAACATAGTGAAATACAGTACAATACATTACATTAGTTTAAGAGCAGAAAAATATGGCAGTATGTTGGATTTTATGTTATCGGACTGTTTCATGGGAAGTGACATGACGGCACGAAACAGCCAATTGCTATAATGCCATCCTTCCATGATCATATATATTTATCCCTTCCCTTAAATTTGCCTTAAGCTAGTCATTAGAAAAAGTTCAGCTCATGACTAACTTTTGCCAGGCTGAAGCCACCGTACTGCGAGCAACTCTGCTGTGTTCCACTGGTCTCTTTAAAACACAGAACTTTCTTCCTGTGCTTGGTATCTTTTGGGAGCTGGGAGACAATGATTTCCCCCTTGTGATTTAAGTCAGCCTACGGTACAAGTTAAAACTGGTCTAAATCTTGGTGGAATCATGAGAGAGCAAGAGAGAAAGGATGAAGGAGACAGAAGTTTTGGTTCAGTTTAATTCAGCTGGGGAGTCTGGTTTAGAATCCCAGAAACGAGTACAACCTGAGCGTGTTCTGGCTCCCACTCTGTTATTATCTCTGTTCAAATGGTGTTCTCATAAAATGACAATTCCTGCAGAGATTCCCAAGGTCTTCTGTACTCAGCACCCAGAGAAGCCCTGTTATTGCCCTGAACCACCTCATGTTGAGAACAAAGAGACTTCGAAAAAAATTTAAGCAATGCTCTTTAAAAGACAATACAAAAATGGGGAAAAATGAAACAACAAAGGATAGCCAACACTGCTGTAAGGCAACAGAAGTCTTAAAAAACTACTAAAACTGTATTAAAACAATGCTTTTACCAGTTCAAACAGATGTCATGAAATAGTGTCCAGATTTCTTCATCAGGCTAGACTATTGCGTGACATGCTGGTCAACCTAATAATGGTACGTATTGCTCATAATAGTGGGTTCTGAGAAATGAAAAGAATTATTCTCTGCACCGTACGCTGACAGGATGTTTACTTCTTTGCAGGGGAAGTATGCTAACATTTATGTTCAAATATATGACTATAGCCTAGGAAAATGGAGACAATTAAACTAAGCTAGAATTGACAAAACTCTGCACTTGCCTGAGATCACAGCCCTTGAATTTCTAGTGGTGATTCAGACATTTTATATGTTCCTAAGTTATTCCAGCTTTCACCATGAAAAGGAACAAGTCTAGTTCTCTCCTGCACCCCGTACTATTTGTTCTTAAAAGTGGGAAAAACACACTCGGCAAATGATGTGTATAGAAAGCCACAGAAAAAGGAAGGGTGGGGCTCTCAAGTGGTCAGAAAACAGGATGTTTTCACCTCACAATTCAATTTCTCTCTGTCTTTTCTCCTTCCCATCCCTGTCTTCCTGCCTGCACATGTACCTATTGTCCCGTGTACATAATCCCTTCCATGTCCGAGGAATTCTGCCAAAAAGCTGCAGTTGTAAGACACAATTAAACACACTGAATTAATCTAAGCAAGTAACAGGTCGAGACCAAATTTAATTTTCTTTCATGCTGCAGAATTTGGTGTGTATGGAGGACAGGAGACTAGTAAAATAAATAGGAGAAGTCTATAGTATCGTTCTCCAGATTAGGGTCCTCTGAATATATTGAAGATCAAACAAAACTGGCATTCATTCAGCAGAAAAAACAGGAAAGAAGAACAGATCTGGGAATACAAAAGTAAATGTGTATTATATTAAGCCA